AACGAGTTATAGAAGAAGAGAAAAGAGAAGATTTTTAACGGTTTTTTCGATATATCTCGAAAAATAACAAAGCAGTCGATACTTTCAAAAAATCAGTCGATAGATCTTTTTAAAACCTACAACTTTCTCATTTAAAATTTTTCAATGCGTGCTATATTTTTTTAGTTATTTTAGAAAAACCGTTTTTTTCAACTTTGCGATTTTTTTTAACCATGTTCGCCATATTGGATCGAGTTTAAAGAACAAGAAACTCAATTTAAAATTTAATTTTCTATACGGTCATATTTTTTTTGTCCAGGTAATAATTTCTGCAAATTTAACATTAATCCGTGACAGAATGCTTGGACTATTCCACTCTTCCGTTCTTTTGGGACGCTTCACCGATTTTTCCCTCGTTTTTTTTTGTCAGGTTATGTTCACTTTGCGACTTTTCTTAATTTTTCGACTTTTCTTTCACACAGCACTTGTTTCGATCCCACAAATCGCACTTCTGAATTTCTATTGGCTTCGGTTTTCTTCCAACACAGAGGGCAGTCAGGGTGGCTTATGGGGGGTGGTGGATAAGGGATCAAGAACTGTTGCTGCTCACCACTGATCTTCATTTCTCGTCTAACGTCTACTACAAATAATAACGTCTCTTCACAAACTACAATTACTCTTATTATTAACACTACGTATATCTATCGACCGCTGACGACTTTATCAACCATAATGTTTTCCCTTCTCTTCTTCTTCTTCCTCTTCTGTCTCTCTGGCTTCATTTACACCAGTCCCTTTTACTTTGTAGTAATTGTAGTTAGTTCACAAACAAAGTTGTGTAAAACTATAAACGACACGAGAGAATCTGCATCTGACTGAAGATTTCACAAGCCATAGCTCATTAGGATTGATTGGTTTTAGTACTAGCCTTTAAAAGGTTTCCCAGTCGTGTCTAGGGGTCATAAGGTTGTATTACTTCGGGATCGAACTATTTATTTTAATAAGAACGACTCTACTCGACACGATTTGCCCTGAAAACAGTTCATTAATGAAAAACTACTTGGAGATAATGAATAAATTGGTACGAATTCATACATATTCAACGATAGAAAGTACCTGACATGTACAGGGTGTTCACTTCGATAGAGATTTGTAACTGTAAAGAAAATATTTGGTGTTAGTATTCATATTTCCCCTATTTTGTATAGGCATATAATACTTTTTAATTCTACACAAAGCTGATACATAAGGAAGAAAATCTGTTTATTAAATATCAGCATTTAAATAATTTCAGTGTATTTGCCGATACTGCATCGTAAAATTTAGTTTTCAAATGCTATAAAAGTATTCATTACGTATTTATATTCATACAAAAGTAAAAGTTTTGTTTATGCCGAGAAAAAGTGTCTATAAAAGCTTGTATGTTTTATAAATTTGCTTTTCAATGCTGTATTGCTTAATTTTTATTAAATTGAGAAAATATTGCATTATCTTATGGCGATTTAAGTGCAATAAATCTTTAATATCAAATTAAAATTAACATAAGCCTATAAATGTGTTTATATGACGATATATGCAACCAGCATTTCATATGTCCAATTTTACGTGTGGCATAGCATTACACGCTATTACATTATTTAATAAGACTCGGTAGGCTTGTAAAGCTTCCAGAATACGCCTCAAAACAAACAAGGACCGAATCCACCTGTTCATCAATGACAGCATAATCCAGCCTGCTTCCTGTTTCCGACCTGGCTTATTAAACAATCAGAAAAAAAATATTTATAACCTTCCCGACTTGTAAACTAATAAAACAGATGAATTAACTGCCACTAATTGAACTACGACTCGCGAACAACGTACACAAACGAGAAACAATGCCTAATTCCTCGCTATAATGCGGTGAGGAAATCAAGAAGAATGATACAGTTCAAAACGTAAATGTCTGGGATAGCTGGGTGGTAAAATGGGTACGTTTTATTCTAAATCTAGAAGTATGCGGTCTGCGATGGCAAAAAATGGACTGCAGTCGCTGCTGCAATTTGTTTGATCGGTTTTTTTGTTTCGTGTTTTTAAATTAATGCGGCAACAGTGCATTTGTGGGAAAGCGTGAATTCTGGAGTTCCGATTGTCTGCACTTGCAAAAATAGTCCTACGGTAATGTTACTTTTTTTTATATACCCGTTGAATTTTAATTCTATACGTACGTCTATTAAATATTGGCTGAGATTAAAGTAGAAGTAAATGTCTTCCGATATAATGGAGATATTTGAACTAAATTTGGTGTACGTTACAATGGGTCAAGTTTCCATAAAACACTGTAATGTCAAGACTCGTGTGAAACCATTGGCGGAGATATGGGTAACTCAACTATTTCTTCAAGAGAAATCCGGTGAAAAATGAAAATTGATCGTCAAAAAATGTCTCTTAAATACTGTTGACATTTGTTTCCCTTTCTCTCTTTGAAACTAGCTAGATACAGGGTGTATTTAGATGAAAGGCCACAAATGGTACCTTGGTAACTTTGAACCTAAAATATGATAATTGGGTCAAATATACCTTAGTTCAAGTTATAGGGTGTTTTTGTTGTTTGAAAAACATCACAAATATACATATCTTGAATTTTGTTTGTAGTAGATTAATGGCATTTAGGATAAGGAACCACCACTTGAGAACTGCTGATTTTCGTAGAAGATATTCGATGTACCCACCATTTGCTTGCACACAAGCTTCAGCGCGACGTATCCAATTCGATCGCACTCGTTGCAACATTGCCACCTTCTTTATTTTTCTTTATTTATCTTTATTTTACCATTTCGACTGGAACATGCTTCATCTGTAACAAGTGTTTGCGATGGAAATTGAGGAATTCTTGCAAGCGACCGTTCGCAAAAACCTAGTCGTAGTGGAAAATCATGACATTTTACACGAAAAACGAAATAGCAGTGTTTAAAAACGTATTTTCTGTGCAATAAATGCATATGCGACAAAAATTATGTACGCAGATTGATACAAATACAATGAAAATCAGTTCGTTGATTTCTCTAAGTACAATTTTAAATCACACGAAAATTTCCGTAAATTTGATTCCAAAACCAATTTTTTTTTCAAAATACTGAAGTAAAAAATATAAAAACAGAAGAAAGTTATGTGAGTAATCCTGTACATAGAAATTTAACTTTTTTCTTTCATTTGTATAAAAATTTATAGTTTAAGGTATCTATGAAACACCGGCAACACTGTAAAGATGATCTACGTTGTGGGTAAATGCTACAATAAAGTAAGCGGTTCCCAACAAGTTTTCCCTTAAAAAAATGATGCATATTTATTTTAAATTTGACATTTTACAATGACATTGTGCAAAACCATATTTATCTTATAATCTTCGACTTCGTGGGTGTTGTATAATAATGAAAACGTAATATTGACAGTTGGTAGAAGGAAGCGCAAAAACAAACGCTTAAGTGGGGAATTCTGGAAGGAAGCCTAAAGAGTTGAAGTTAGAACAGTGTGGAGATGGGTAGTAAGACGATCGGCGGGCAGTGTGGCAAAGTAGTGAAAAATTAAAAGTGTTTAACTCGTATTAATTAGCAGGTAATTATTCTCTAAGTACTTTGTTGTTAATTGTTCTATGTAATCTTATGCTTGTGATGATTATAGATTTTTCATGATAAAAATTCTGTGTATGTTTAACCTTCATTGTCTTACGCTCAGGGGCGTATATTTTTCTAACGTAAAATTGTTACAATTGTTATTAAAGATTGCTCATTATTTATTACATGTTAAAATATGTATATATTGTCGTGACTGCCCGGATATTGCAATAACAACTCCTTTGTTTCACATTTAACTTGTTTTGTCATGATTACGTTGTTCGAAAAACAAGTAATAAAACATTTCTTGTGCTCACTTTATGTCAAGACGCATATAAGGGTCTTGTTGAATTCACTAACATTTTCGCCCGTGAGGAACGAATCTGAAAAAAAGAATAATTAAGTACAAAAAAAGAATTGCTAAAACAGATCTTCCGAAATCTCAACTATAGCTGGATTGCCTCCCGTATGGGACTCCAGTACCTTCCGGCCCTGCCGGCTAACTAACACCAAACCTCTTCAGTTTTACTTGGAAGTGTGTATGTCTGATTCGAGTGAGGTGACATTTAGTGACACATTAAATAAATCGGGTGTTAATTATAATTAGCAAAGGATCTTAATTTATACCTTTTGTACCGATCGTCGGTTTCTCTGCCATGCTCTTTTCCCACAGGAGCTCTAGGTGAACCTGGCACTCTCATTTTATGTTAAATGGTTGTTAATGTTTTTGTTGTTCTTTTGTCACATGTTTAATTTTACGTAAATAATAAAGTTAGGTATATTTACTCTGCTTTTGTTTTATAATTCTTTATGACGATCACATATTTCTGGCCACAACTACGTTTATACTTTTTTCGATCGAACCCGGGGTTATACTACAACATTTGCCAATATTTTAACTTCAACGGATTTTTATAGAAATATAGTTATGTGTTAACATTTCGTAAGTAAGCAGGCAAATCTTACAAGTGTCTGGAAGCGTTCGTTAATGGTTTTGCATACTAATCGAACTTAATTGAAAACATTTCAATTAAACCTACTTTTACTTATAATAACTTACGCACTCACATTTTTTTTTAAATGTCGAGCGCGCAGTTAGTAAAACTAGTTCACCACAATTTGTATGTGTATTTTGTAAACAACCAACTGGCTCGATTGCAGATTGGAATTACTCTACCGTGAAATTGCTTATTGGATTCTAATGTCAGGACTCATTCATGATCTGTCAACAAACAACGACGTTTACTATGACTGATTCTTCTAGAAGAAGATGAATATCCCAACCCACACCGACAAATATTTTAAATAAAATCATTTTTACAACTTGGAAATTAGTCCGCGTAACATTATCGGGTCTCTAAAGAAAATTTCGGAAGTGTGGCAACGCCGCCAATTAAACTAAATCTCTTCTTCTTCTTCTTCTTCCAGATGGCGTGCAACTGCCCGGTGACCCAACCGGGTCCCACCCTCGCGGCAACGTGCGGGGGTGCCCAGTACATGCTGTTCATGGGCTTGCTGGAGGTGTTCCTGAGGTCCCAGTGCGATCTGGAGGATCCTTGCGGGAGGCTGGAGAGCTCGCCTCTGTTCCCAGAGTACGATTTTATCATAGTAGGCACTGGCAGCGCGGGATCGGTGGTCGCCAGTCGGCTGTCGGAGATACCCGAGTGGAGGGTTTTGACGATAGAGGCAGGTAAGGGAGGATAAGGCATCTGTCATAGTTTTTAAGGTCGTCTCTCGATCTAACCTCACTTTTATACGAGAACATAACATATGAGGAAGCATTTGAAAGCTAGTCAGGTTTTAAGGATAATAGTAAATTTCCCCATGAATACGAATATGAAATTCTTATTTAGTTAGTTTTTTAAACTGTAGTTTAATTCTTGTTCACTGGTAAGCCTGGTAACTTGTATCAGTGCACTATCAGCGTTGCCAGCTGTTACCTTTTTAAATCAACTGTTAGAGAGCGACAATGGAAGATAATTCAGGAAAACATATCGCTTTTGTATGGCTTAGAACGTGTTATTTTAATATATATTTTTTAATATCACTGTGGACAAGGCGCCAAACATTAAAAGAACATGCTGTTTTTGAAGAAAAGTCTGTATGTAATGACATCCGTTATTCAAAACACTGTATAATGTTTACTGGCCACTCCTGCACAGCCGATCTAATTTGTTTATCTGCAGCATTTTCTTTGTTCTAGGTCTAGACGAACCTACAGGCACGCAGGTACCGTCGATGTTCTTAAATTTTATCGGTTCGGACATAGACTGGGGCTTCCAAACAGAACCTGAGACTCAGGCCTGTCTATCAGAGAATGAGAGGAGGTGTTACTGGCCGAGGGGAAAGGTAAGTGGAAAATTTTAAGGAAAAATACTAAAGCCGTTTTCACAAGGCGCGACACTTACCGCGTGTCGACGCGGCTTTAAATTTTATGCGTAATTTGAAAACCACGAGATTAAATTTATTATGAATGCAATTTTTTACGTTTCCATTAAGAGGATGTCTAGTCACATCGTCAGATGAACATAAAAAACGTTTTTCGAAAACTGTCATCAAAGGTAGAGATTTTCGCTAAATTTTCAGTTTCAGTCTTTTTTGTTACTTCGCTGTAAAATACTTTTTTATTCTAGAACGCCAAAGTCTTTTTCGTTCTAGAACATAAAACAAATATCGAAATAATTTGTCATTTTTTATTATACAGGGTGATTCATTAATAATGGAACAGAGCGTAAGGGCATGTTGCTAACCTCAAAATAGAGCGATTAAGCCAAATATGCCTTATCCGAATGTTGCTCCTTTTCGATCTACAGGGTGTTAAAATTGAAAAAATATTTTCGATTTTTTAAAATATCTTGAGCATCTTTGAACGGATTGTCTTGAAAGTTTGTACACCTATGTTTTCTGAGGTGGTAATTACGGAAATGGTAACTATTTTGCAATCACATCTAGGATGCGCTAGTTGTAGTGTTCCGTCGGAGTAAACATATGTCAAACTTTTTTGTCCTTCAAAAATCTGAATTTCCAATAAGAAATTATTAAACTACGTTCAATTCTAAATAAAAAAGATATACCTGTTAAAAATCGATAAACTTAACCGTTTTCGAAATAAGAACGATTTACTATTTCTTTACAAAATTATTTGTTTGAACGTACGCCTTTAAATAAGATGACTTAATTACGAATTAAGTCAAACACAGTAACAACTGAAAATTTTATTATGCTTAAGTCT